AGATTTAGGCTGGAAATAAGGAAACATTTCCTAACAGTTGGAGCTGCTCAAAAATTGAATAGCTGTTTGTGAATATAGTGGGATTCTTCTCATTAGAAATCTTCAAGTTAAAGCTGAATAACAACATTTTGGAGACTCTGAACAATATAGGCAGGACAAGATGTCCTTTACTATCTAATCAAAGTGTGAGACTTTTTAAAAACAGTTAATGAAAAGAGATTTATTTGGCCATAGTAGAAGACCATTCAACAAAGCTATCCATTGAAGACCACTCCAAGTTGTTTCAACTCAGAGAAGCTCCCTTGCCTGAGTTGAGTATCATAGTCTGCCAAACAAAGACACTCAGCTCTGAGGTTCTGATTCCATTACTTAGGGTGAAGCTCACTCCATTCTAAGATAGACCAACCTACAGGAGAACTGCTCTAATAATCAGGAAGCAAGATCTTCCTCTTATGATTAAGATTCAAAGACTTGAGGACAACTATTAGATTTCCCTGAGCTCTCTTCTTCCTTGGGGCAAACATACTTGGTTCCTTTAACTCATCTTTGCATATCATGTTGTTTTGGGCATCACTGATACCATCTTGTTTCATTTCACCTTTCAGAAAAATTTTCTTCCTTTGTGATATAGCTCAAGTGTCACAACCTTCTCTGATCCCTTAAATTATTAGTTTTCTGTTGCCTCCCCGCAAATTCCCAGATTTTGTCTGATTTCTCCTTGGCCTCTATCTCTCCCTACCTTGTATTTTTGTCTGTGGAATTGTTGTATACATGGATTAGAAACTAACTTCCTTGAGGGCAGGACCTATTTTGTTTTTGGTTCTGTAGCTCTAGTGTATAACACTGTTTCTTATCTACAGTATAGATCTTTAAACTTTTGTTAAACTATTCAACTGAAAATCATTTTTATTCCCTTCATCACCTAGTTGCTATCCTCTCCAAGTTGTCAATTTTCCTCTTAGGTTGTGATGTACAGAAATGAATAAATTATTCCAAATGCAGTCATTCACTGATCTTCTAATGATGATTTCAAATGAAGAAGCATTATATAGTAGAACTCTGGACATGAGTTCAGGACTGGGTTCAAATATTACCTCTGACAGTGACTAGATGTGTGATTATGGGTAAGCCCCATAAATTCTCAGAATTTCATTTGTCTTTTCCATAAAAGAGTGGCAACAATAAATATAACACATAACTCAGACAGTTGATATGAGGATCAAGAGAAATAATACATGTAAAGTACTTCATAAATCTAGAAACTATATAAAAGTTCACATTTGTTAAAGAATAGCTATCTCTATCTCTATATCTATATGAAAATATAGGTGTGTATATGTAAATATAGATAAATGTATATGAAATCACACATACACAATATGGTTTGGACTTGTGATTTCATCAATGCAAGTTAAGCCTTTGAAGGCACCTTCAAATCACATGTCCCTTAGAGATAGCTACCTTAGTTTCAAGGTACTCTGAAGTTCAGATACACTGAAATCATTGCTCATGAATGGGTCCCACTAATGTGTTCACTTTTAATAGTAAGCCAAAAAACAGAGTTGAAAAATCAAAACTTTTAATGGAATGTCATGATAAGAAAAATAGCAATAAAACCCTTTCCCCATACACCATGGATAGATTCTCTTTTAAATATACACACCATAAGGGGGAAGGGTGGACACATATAGGCAGAACAAATGAAGAGCCACACATATAAGGAATATGGCATACGCTAGAAGTGGGGAAAAAAAAAGCAATACAGGGAACCCAGGTGGTCAGGTGCAAATTCAAAGGTATACACACACATATAGGGAGCATAAATAACAAAGGTACATATTTGTTGCTATTGCTCAGTTGTTTGAATTATTTCTCAGTCTTCATGACCCCATTTGGGGTTTTCATGGCAGAGATACTGGATTGGTTTGCCATTTCCTTCTCTAGTCCATTTTACAGATGAGGAAATGAAGTGAGCAGGATTAAGTGATTTGCCCAGGGTCACACAGCTAGTAAGTGTGTGAGGCTGGATTTGACCTCAGGCCCAGCACTTTATCCACTGTGTGACCTAGCTGCCCCCAGGGTACATAAATGAAGGGGAAATTTGCCTCTGAGGCTGAAGGCCTGCAGTTATTTCTTGTGACCATCATCACACTACTCCCATTGAACCAGATGCCCATTTGTTTGGATGGTAGTCTCTAACAGGTGGACACTGTCTATTACTCCATGAAATACAACTCTGATGAACAGTTGCCATTGTGTGATTTTGCTAGAAATGTAATTTTTACTGGATTATACCGTAATGGACAGGAGTCTCCAACAGCTGTTGTGAGATTTGGTCCCAAAGGGCAGTACATATTTACTATTTCTTCATGAAAAAAGAAGAATGTGCTCTACTTGCATAGTTCGAATATATATATATATATATATATATATGTATGCATATAAATCTATAATATTTTATATCTATTATATCTATTTTATTATATATTTATCTCTCTATTTATATTTGAACTATGCAGGTATATACTATGTAATGTAGGTTTATAATATCATTGTTGTTATTATGTGTCCTTTGTTTTCAAAGAGGACCGATAACATCACAAGGTGATGTCATGGATTTAAGTGAGGCATAGTTGCACAAAGACTTAAGCTTCACTCTTCTGAAGTCATTGAAGTCCAGTGTCAAGATAAAAATTAAGACAATTGGTGGTGGTCCAGAATGCAGTGTCTTTGATGTCTGATCAAGCTCTAAGCACTCCACAGTGCCAGCTTCAGCTGCCTTCATGGCCTTTGGAACAAATTATTTCCATCTGCCCATTCCACAGGGGAAGTCTTCACATGCTTGGGATAGACAACCCCTAAGTCACCAACTGGTATGAGGCCCATTGGTTACCCTCGACCTGGTTTAACATGTGTGCTGAGATAGTTTTACCTGGGTGTGGGTGTTGTGCATGCTACAGGTTCTTGGAACCACAAGTAAGAGTTAAGTGCCAGGTAGACACCAAAGAGTGGATGAACATCCCTGAAAAGGGCTTGGAAAGCCCTCACACTAGAGGTCCTCCCTGAATACACCATAGACCCCATATATGTATATGTACATGTATATGATATATATGTATACATGTATATACACACATGTATATTTAAAACATACATTTATTTAGTTTTAGTTTTAAACATTCACTTCCATAAGATTTTGAGTTCCAAATTTTTTCTCCATCTCACCCTTCCTCCCATCCCAAGATGATGTGTAAATTAATATAGGCTCAACTTATACAATCATATTAAACCTATTTTCACTTTAGTCATGTTGTAAAGAAGAATTAGAACCAATAGGAAGAATCACAAGAAAGGGGAAACAAAAAGAGAGAGAGAGAGAGACAGAGAGAGAGAGAGCAATATGCTTCAATTTGCATTCAGACTCCATAGTTCTTTTTCTGAATGTGGATAACATTTTCCATTATGAGTCTTGGAGTTGTCTTAGATCCTCACATTGTTAAGAAGAGATAAGTCTATCAAAGTTAGTCATCACACAATGTGGCTGTTACTGTGTACAATGTTCTCCAGGTTCTGCTCATTTCACTCAGGATCAGTCCATACAAGTCTTTCCAGGTTTTTCTGAAGTCTACTTGCTCATCATTTCTTATAGCACAATAATATTCCATTACATTCATATATCACAACTTGTTCAGCTGTTCCCCAACTGACGGGCATCCTCTCAATTTCCAATTCTTTGCCACCACAAAAAGAGCTGTTATGAATATTTTTGTACATATGGGTCCTTTTCCTGTTGTTATGATTTCTCTGGGATACACACCTAGAAATGGTATTACTGGGTCAAAGGATATGTACAGTTTTATAGCCCTTTGGGTGTAGTTCCAAATTGCTCTCCAGAATGGTTGGATCAGTTCACAACCTCACCAACAATGCACTAGTGATCCAATTTTCCCACATCTTCTCCAACATTTATCATTTTCCTGTTTTGTCAAGTTGTTCAATCTGATTGGTGTGGTGTGGCACTTCAGAATTGTTTTGATTTGCTTTTCTCTAATCAATAGCAATTTAGAGAATTTTTTTTTCATTGCATATGTATATTTTGGAAAATAGCCACTCAACCTTAGGACCAACAATACTTAGGGGAGGGGAGAGATTTCCTCCTGTCTTCTTTCATTGAGTGGCCTGTCATTCCTTTCAATGTAGTATTAAAATATTTTTTACTTTATTTATTTTACATGCATTTATACTCTGTTTCTCTCATTGTCCCTCTATTAAGCAAATAAAATAAAATAAAACAAAACAAAATTCTACAAATATGCTTACCCTATTAAAATAAATTTTGATACTGGCCATGCCTGAAAACATGTCTTCTTTCTGTATTTTAAGTTCATCTTTTCTCTGACAGGAGGTGAGTAGTATGTTTTATATTCAGTCTTATGGACTGTCTCTCATCCATCCAGGCTTTGGGCCTGGAGCCAGGAAGACTTGAATTCAAATCTGGCCTCATACACTTATTAGCTAGTTGTGAGATTTTGGTTAACTTAATCACTGTTTGGGCTTTTGACTTTTCTTTTTCTTTTCTTTTTTTTAATTTGTCAAATCTTTATTGGGTAAGTGGGGAAGGTTGGCAGGATCCAACTTAGTCTTTCTTGGCAGCAGCCTTCCTCATGGCAGCTAGGACATTGCTGAGCTCCTCTCTCTTCCTCTTGGCCCAGATGTGAGTTCCCAGTCTTCTTTCGATGAACTTAAGGGCTCGATTATCCTTGGAGACCTTTAAAATTCCATGGCCCACCTCTCATAAGAGGCAAATCCACACACCTCCCAGATCATATCTCTCACAAACTTGGTATGTTTGGTCAAGCAACTGCAGTGGTGGCAGTATCATGGCTTTGAAATGTTTTTGGTAACTTTGTGGCCCTTGTCGAGGTCTATGGCCATGGGGTATCAGATGGCTACTGCAGGTCCAATGGCACCCACAGTTTCAGTTGCATCCCTGAAACATGATGGTGAAGGTTAGAGTCAACAGATTAGGCCATATTAGGCACCTGGTGACCAAGGCTGCATTCACTTCAGGTGGAGTAGACATCATGGGCATCAATGACCCCTTCATTGACCTCAACTACATGGTTTATGTGTTTCATTATGATTCCACCCATGGCAAGTTCAAGGGCACTGTCAAGGCTGCAAATGGAAAGCTGATGGTCAATGGAAAAAACATTACCATCTTCCAGGAACAGGATCTCCCCAGTATTAAATGGGGGGATACTGGAGCTGAGTATGTTATAGAGTCCACTGGAGTCTTTACCACCATGGAAAAAGGCTGGGGCTCACTTGAAGTGTGGAGCCAAGAGGTTCATCATCCCTGCTCCTTCTGCTGATGCCCCAATGTTTGTGATGGGAGTGTACCATGAGAAATATGATAATTCTCTTAAGCTTGTCAGTAATGTTTCCTGCATCACCAACTGCTTGGCCTCCTTGGACAAGGTCATTTATGACAACCACGACATTGTGGAAGGACTCATGACTACAGTCCATGCCATTAGTGCTACTGAGAAGACAGTAGATGGACCCTCTGGTAAGCTGTGGTGTGATAGGCTTGCTGATGCTCAAAACATCATCCCTGCTTCCACTGGTGCTGCTAAGGCTACAGGCAAGGTCATACATGAGCTGACTAGGAAGTTCACAGACATGGCCTTCCTTGTTCCTACTCTCAATGTATCAGTTGTGGATCTGACCTGCTGCCTGGAGAAACCTGCCAAATATGATGATATCAGGAAAGTGGTGAAGCGAGCATCAGAGAGACCTTTGAAGGACATCTTGGGGTACACAGAGAACCAGGTTGTATCCTATGATTTTAATGGCAACACCCACTCTTCTACCTTTGATGCTGGTGCTGTTATTCTCCTCAACAACCATTCTATCAAGCTCATTTCCTGGTATGACAATGAGTGTGAATATAACAATTGTGTAGTAGACCTCATAGTCTACATGGCCTCCAAAGAGTGGAAAAATGGAAAGCCATGGACCTTCATCCCTAATCAAAAAAATGGAAATCCATCCCTGTGGAGCCTATATTCCTAACCTCTGTTCCCATACTGAGGATCCCATGTTCCACTCACATCCTTGTCCCAAAGGAACCCTGTAGTGGGGGGGAGAAGTCTAGAGTTCTATATTGTGTATCATCGATAAAGTCATTACATTCAGTGAAAAAAAACTTAATCGTTGTTTGATTCAGTTTCTTCATATATAAAATGGTGATAATAATTACACCTCACTCACATGGTTATTGTGAGGATCAGACAAGATATTTGTAAAGTGCTTAATATAGTGCCTGGAACATAGTAGACAATAAATGTTTATTTCCTTCTCCTTTTTCCCCTTTTAAGATTGTTTTTCTCTAAAATATTGTTACATAAATTGTTCTCAGAGTTCTGTTTGTTTCATGCTGTATAAGCTCATAGAGATCATCCAAATCTCCTCTGAAACTGTTCATTTTGTCATTTCTTATGGCATAATATCCCATTACAATCATATATGACACTTTGTTTAGCCATTCCCTACTAGCATGGACTTCATATGAGTTCTTTTCCTCTTTCTTTGATTTCTTAAGGTTATAACCCTACTAGAGGTATTACTGGGTCAAATGGTATGCACAGTTTGGTAACTTTTTAGATATAGTTTCCAATTGCTTTCCATAATGGCTGGACCCTTAATGCATTATTTTCAAGGTCTATCACTCCAAGCAGTAGATTCTCAGACCTAATTGCCAAGACCTTGAGAACAATAATCAGAAACACTCTTCACTACCTAGCTAGTGCCCTCAGACTTAAATCTTTCTATTCTTTGTATTCAATTTCCCAAAATCTGGATTTGACTCTCTCCATAGGTCACCTGATCCTAGCTAATGATAAGCATTTCGAAAGTCACCTAATTTTAACCTCTGAAATAGATATGATCTCAATTTTTTATCCATGTAAGCTCTATCCACCACTAACTGGTGTTTGTGGTTCTAACTCCAAACTTCCATTCTCCCACATAGATGAGTATGAAAGGAAAAGGTACAGGGATAAAGGAAAGCCCAGGAAAGCAAAGCTCTAATTTTCCCATCTAGTTACATTTCCATCCTTTTTATTTAGCCAGCAGAGACTGAAAAATCTTTTAATTCACTCTTGTATAAGAAACTCCTAATAAGGAAATTTACTTCATTCACCTATTCTTCTGTAACTTTTAGTTGTAGTTGCCTAGGACATTTTAAGGTTAAATTACTTGCCCATGGTCTTATAGCTAGTAAGTGTCAGAGGCAGGAAGCACTACCTAATCTTTCTGACTTGTTACCTATTGCTGACTGAAATAAATCAATTTTTGCTTGTGTACAAATCTTTTACATTCCTTAAGATCAGTCCATTTTTTCTTATCTAATTAAGATTAAGAGTCTCTAGAACCTTCAGTTGAAACTAACTTGCCTTGCTGGAATTCTTAAATGGACATAATTCTTAGGTCATTTTACCAATAAAAAATGAGGTTACTTAAATGTCTAAGGAATTAATATAGATCTTAGTCCAGGCATTAGTTTGTGGATCCAATTATTAATCCTGATGTTCCTGCTTCAGTTCTTGATAAATTGTTTGTAGTTGGATAACTAAGGAATTGTTGATCACACATCGCACATCATTGGTTTATTAAAATAGCAGTTTTTCTACTTTTCACTTAAGACATGTGCATGCAGACTTTCTACAGTGAATGTCTTCAGTTTAAATGAAATATTTCCTGACTGTTTTTAAGCTTCTGAGAAACTCCAAAACAGAGTTGGTAACTCAAGAAATATTTGGATTTCAGAACAGGTGGGAACATGCCATTGGGAATACCTGAAAGGTTGGAAAGATAATGATTTCAGTGAAACATGGAATGAAAATACAACACTGGCTATAGAGATGATGGGAAATATTGATACATTTTATAATATTGTTGAACATGAATAGAAAACATAAAAATGACAGTGCCCTTGATATAAAAAGTGACCTGCCATTTATTTAAAATTTAATATTAAGGCCCTGACATTAGCTAGCAAAGATTCATTATACCCATGGAAAAATCTTAGCTATGTCTATGGTAACTGGGCACCAATTTAATAAGCAATGACCAAAAAAAAAGATGCCAGCTATTTTGAAAAGAACACATTTAAATCGTGTCATATTGATTCATTTGTCCATACAGGATTTAACAAAAATCCTCATATTCAATTGTGTCCCAAACAAGTTAGGACAGGAACTTTCAAAACTAATTTTCAAAAATAAAACTTGAAATCAACATCCAGTTGTTACCTTGACATTACCAATGTAGGAGAAAGATGTCTACTCAATAAAGAACCATCTGCAGCTATTTTAGATTGATGTCAGCTGCTGCAAAGGACAGTAATAGATTGATGGAGTGGCACAGTTTGAGCTTGAAATCCTATAGATCCTGTGCAGTGTCACTATCTAACTCAGCAGTGATGCTTCCTTATGTGGCCTCAGCAGGTACGCTGCCAAATAACTGAGCAAACAGACTAGGTTCAACAGCAATAAAGGAGCAGGCAAAATTGCTTAACACAAGTAAATCACAGGATTAGAAATCTCTAGGGGAAAAAAAGCTTAGGAGTAAAGACTTGAATGCAGTAGTATGGTTCCTATGGGGCTTGGAGAATTAGGTTGACTAGAACAAAACAACAGTCAGAATATATTCCTAGTTTCCTAAGCAGCAGCAGGATGACCACAGATGATTATAATCTGTTAATTTTTTTTGTCTGTCGTATACCCATCATTAGCCAGGGAAGACAATAAATGTAGCAGATTCCTTGCTAGCAGGCTCACCTTGCTTCTAACCCCGATTCACTATCCTCAGTTACAAACATGGGAAAGCCAGTAGGAAGAATTACTGTGCATCAGCTAAGGTACAGATGAGAGTTATAATCAGTATGGAAGACAACAGTAACAGAAGAAATAGCATGACAAAAGGGCAAAAACACTGGATTTGGAGTCAGAAAGATAGTCAAGAACTCAGGTTGAGGATCTTAAAATAGTCATGTATTAGTAGACAAAGTCCTTTAACTCAGAGGCACTACCTTCTTTACGGGTAGGTCAAGAAGATGAGAATTGAGAAAAGGCCATTTGTCAATTAAGATATTGTTGATAACCTTGGAGCAGACAATTTCAGTTGTATAATGAGATTGGAAGCTATATTTCAGAGAGTTTAGAAGTGATTGAAAGGAGACAAGGTGGAGACAACTAGTATGGATGACTTTGTTAAGTTTATCCAAGAAGTGGAGGAGACATATAGGATAGTACTTACTGGAAATGGTCAGATTAAGTCAGCATTTTTAAGACCTTATTTAAGACCTTAGGAGACAGGGATATTTGACCTACCTGCGTCCTTTGACACTGTTGATGACTATTTCTTTATGGATATTCTCTTCTCTAGATTTTCATGACATTTCCGCCCTCTTCCTACCTGTCTGATGACTCCTCAGTATTCATTGCTAGATCATTATCCATGCATTATGAATATCTGTAATAACTCATTTTTTTCTATAGCATCTCCCTTGGTGATCCATCAATTTTCATGGGTTCAAATGCATTTCCAAAGTTTTGACCATTTCAAAATGGTTATCTCATAGGCATCTCAAACTCAACAAGGCCAAAATGGAACTAATTATCTTTTCCTGCCCCAACTAACTCACTTCTATAAACTTCCCCATTACTATCAAAGCATCACCAGCTTCCCTCTTACTCAAGCCCTAAGCTTAGTGTCATCTTTGACGCTCTTTTCAATCCTTTTCAAAATCTTATCACTTCTATCTTCAAAACTTCTGTTGACTATATCCTCGTCTTTCCATTCATACACCTACTGCCCATGCTCAAGTTCTCAATATCTCTCTCCTGGACCTTTGCAAAAACCTTCTACTAGGTCTTCTGTCCTCAAATCTCTTGCTCCAAATCGTCCTCCACAGAACATGATCTTCCTAAAATTTAGGTGACCATGTCACCTCCTATTCAATAAGCTCCAGTAACCCCCATTAACTCCAATATCACATATAAAGTCTTCTGACCTTAAAGCTCTTTACAATGCGTGAATTGAAGCTCTTCCTTCCCAGTGTTCTTATACTTCTTGACTCTTCCACACATTCTCTGTGACACAGCTACACTGACTTACTTGCCAATCTTTCCATAACATGCTCCAACTACCACTCTAGAACTTTGCATTGTCTCTCTTCTTCATGGACTCCTCTCTCTCCTGACCTCTTCCTTTTAGCTCCTCTGGTTTCCTTCATTTCTCAATTCAAATCCTACCTTCTTCAAAAGGCCATTCCCAAGTGCATTCAACACACATTTATTTGTTCATTGCCCTTCTGATTCATAGGAGACTCAGATATATTCTTGCTCAGATAGAGATTAATTATGTTTTCCCTTGGAGGTGAGTCACTGAGGACCTGCAGATAGGCCTAACACAGTATTAGAAGAAAACATTGGATTTTGAGTTAGAGAATCTGAACTCAAGCTGTGTTACCTTAGAAAAGTCATTTAATTTGTCTGGATCTCAGTTTCCTCATCTATAAAGTTAAGAAATTAGTCTAGATGATCTCATAAGTCCCTTCCAACTTTATGATCTTAAGAATATTGGGTTTGTGTAAGTAGTTGAATTTAGACTGAGAGTTCTTTGTCATATAGAGCATGGAAATGTTTATTTTTCAATGAAAATGTAAAATCCAACTGGGAAATACTCCTTTTTCCCATTCTTCTTCCAGGAATGTCCTGATAAGTCATTGTCTTAGACCATCACTACCGCAAGTCAGGTTTCCCAAAGGATCAGACTTGAAGTGATGGTAAAAATCATACAATAGAATTATTTCTTCTGCTATTGAATCACATCAAAGTATTTCCCCCTTTATTAAAACACACATTGCTTAATCTATTTGCTTAGGAATTTAAACCCCAAAAAGATTCATTTTCACTTAAATGGATTTTAACTGCCACCTTGGAAATTATGGATAGAATCTAGAAAAAAAATAAAAGAAAATTTGCAAACGGTATGCTTAAATTCCTGTG